CGGACTCCGTTATCCTCATCTTCATTGCCATATTATTCGGACTGTTAATCTTCATTTGCCATTTCGGCCGTTGTACGCTCCGGCCTTTATGTCTATGTCTCTCTATATCTCTGTCTATATCTCTGAGATGAGGTATTAAGATTACTTGCATTATTTATATTATTCGGACTGTTATCCTCAGCTTCATTGCCATATTTACAAAATCTCGACCGTTGTACGCCCCGGCCTTCTTCAGGTGATTAGAATTCAGAACCGAAACCTTTACTTCGTCAACCGAAAATCTAGATCCACGTGCCATGCCTCTTGCGAATATGTCAATGAAGATGAGGATAACTGTCCGAATAATGTGAATAATGGTTGTGCAAATGTAGAAATATTAGGACCTTGCTCAGGAGCTGTTTAAGTTACAGGATATTAATGTCAGTATCGTGCCCATGTAATTGAAACTGCTCCAAATTCGATGAAATCTAGATTCAGTTAGTTGTAAATTCCTTGCATTCTTGAGACTGTAGACGTCATTTCTCACAAATGTGATGATACTGAGAATGTTTTTATGAGTCCTACTGCCACCCAGTCCTTAGGAATGACAACGAGACCTCTGGCGAGAATATGCAAATGTGCTAATACTAGTAGTAATAATAATAATAATAATGGATTAGAACCTGCAAATAAATGACTTCTGCTCAAATTAGAAGCTTCTACTTAAAACACAAACAACATACACTGTCACATTGTGATGTGGACGTATCCCATTTAAGTACGCACACTGGAATTAATAAACGTAAAGTAGAAAAAAAACAATATCTACTATATCGTAGATGTGGATGTGTCAGCTATACACAAATTAAAAATTTAAAAGAGAATGAGAAAGGTCATATTAAAGTTCCTTATAGACGTCCATAACAATTGGCATACATTAGACGAGTGATTTGATGACATTTGACGAAGATTTGAGTAGGTTTCGGCTACTATATTACAAGGGACTAAAATAATTCGGACACAGGATCATGGTATTTGAAATTTGCGCTCGTTCAATCTCTAATGAAAGACAACAGATATCTGAAGGGTTCTCTTAAAATTTAACCTACGACACGCAGTTTCTTCAGCTGAAGTACATACATCAGTTTGATTTATTACTTTTACGACTTATCAAACCGTTTATATAACAATGATTTTTTTTAGATACAACTGTAAATTGTAATAAACTTTTTCATAAAAATCGATGATGGAGATTTTAATAGATAATAGGTCTAGAAATAAAACGTAAAATTACATTTTCTTATAGAATCTCCTTTCTTCAAATTTCAAACTCTCACTTGTTCGATATTTTTGGACAAATTCTTTAGATTATCGTCTTGGTACGTGTTTTCTTTTTTTTTTTTTAATTCGATGCAGTTTATGAATACAGATTCAATCGTATATTTTTGCTGACATGATATGTACAAAGGTATTTCTTCGTTTATGATTAGTTATGTGTGGATAGCATGTGTGCTTCATGTACAGTCTGGCTAGGACACACCTGCTCCATTTTTATCTTTCTGTAACCCGGGTGAAGATGAACAAAGACAAAATAATATGGATTCATTTTGTAACTAGTCGGAAAGGAAAACATCCTAAATAACAAATGGTCTACACGTATTGCTGAAAATACTTTGTATTTCTAAAGCACGATATAAAACTATATGTTAGCCTGGAGTTCAGAAGATTTATTAATGTGAACATTTTTACTAGAATGAAAATAGAGAAGTAAATAGTATAGAGTTAAAAATAATTATCATTGGATATCAAAATTAAACAGGTCAAAGTCAGGATGCTTGTCTCCGTTGCTAGTCGAAATATTTCCATAAAATAAATCATTTGTTGGAACTACAAGTTTTTCTTTTAATTATGCAACTACCAACGGAGACAAGTATCTTAACTTTGACCTGTTTAATTTTGATATCCAATGATAATTATTTTCAATGCTATACTATTTATTTCTCTATTTTCATTCTAGTAAAAAAACTCACAGTAATAAACGCAATGTCATGGTCACTCCTTAATTTGAGCAAAACAGCGCAAAGAGGATAGAAAAGCTTAAAAATTAAAATCAGGGAAAACAAACGAAGATGATGACATTTACAACGTAAGAGCAAGTTGAGGCGTAAAAAAAAGATTTTTCTTTTTACTCTATAAATTGCCTTTTTTTTTATCATATCATATTTTTCTTTGGAGCAGAGATGTTCAGACTGGATGGAGTTTTGCTGTATATATTCTATAAAATTAAACAGGCTTGAACAATTTCTTAGGATCAGTGAACGGTCGTACTTGAGCGTGACACAATAATAAGATTGTAAACCTCTAATCAGTGATTGACATCAGTCATAACGCAATATCTCTCTATATTTCTGAGATGAGGTATTATGTAAATTATTTACATTATTCTGACTGTTGTTATCATCTTTGTCGCCATATTTATTAAAACGTTTCGGCTCTTCAGTATCTGTCTAAATTTTTGAAATTAGGTATTATGTACACTATTTACATTATTAGGACTATTGTCCTCATCTTTGCCACCATAATTATTACAACGTTTCGGCCCTTCAGTATTTGTCTATATTTCTGAGATGAGGTACTATGTACACTTTTTACATTATTCGGACTATTGTCCTCATCTTTGTCACCATATTTATTACAATGTTTCGGCCTTTCAGTATCTGTCTATATTTCTGAGATGAGCTATTATGTACACTATTTACATTATTCGGACTATTGTTCTCATCTAATCACTATATTTATTTCAATGTTTCGGCCGTTGTACGCTCCGGTCTTCTTCAGGTCGTTGGGATGTCGAACTGAATCCTTTATTTCGCTCACTGAGGTAGACTGTTCTAGTTCCACGTGCCATGTTTAATGGATGTCAGTTATCAGTTATCTCCTGTTAATTTCCCCTCTCCAAGTTCCCCACTGCCTTAACCGGGTATTGAACTCATTGGATCTAACCAACGCCTTTATCCACTGTGCTAAGTGTGCTTGAGGACACATGGCACAGGACCCAAAGAGTGTGAGTTCAATGCCCGGTTAAGGCAGTGGAGAACTTTCAGAGGGAAATTAACAGGAGATAACTGATAACTGACATCCATTAAACATGGCACGAACTAGAAACAGTCTACCCCCCAGTGAGCGAAATAAAAAGGTTCAGTTGGACATTCCAACCACCTGAAGAAGACTGGAATGTAACGGCCGAAACGTTGTAATAAATATGACGACAAAGATGAGGACAACAGCCGAATAATGTAAATAATGTAAAGTAATAACGTTAATTGATAGATTTGAAAATGAAGAAAATGCTTTCGGTTTGTTTTTTTTTTTTTTGCTTTGCTTTTTTTAAAAAAAACTAAAACGTGAGAGTTTTTGAGACTTTTCATTCGAACCGTGAATTGAAAAACATAACAAATTAACAATTCGGGAAAATGCGAGAGATTTTCTTTATAAAAGGAGTTTCTATCTGAAAGCTTTTCAGTGATGTTTTTCTGACCTAGCAGACGTTAAAGATGGTGAGAATAATATATTATTATATATATTCAATAATATATCGGTAATATTTTTTCAAAAAAAATATTACTGGTAATATTTCCCGCCCAAATGTATTGCTGGTAATATTTTTCTGAAAAAGTATTGCTGGTAATATCTTTTCCCAAAATGTATTGCTGGTAATATTTTTCTCAAAAAGTATTGCTGGTAATATGCCCCCCCCCCAGTAGTGCTGGTAATTTTACCCCCACCCAGTATTGTTGGTAATATTTTTCGCCCCAAAATGTATTGCTGGTAATATTATTTCCAAAAAAGTATTGCTGGTAAAATTATTTCCAAAAAGTATTGCTGGTAATAATGTATTGCTGCTAATAATTTTTTCTTCGAAAATTTATTCTTGGTAATAATGTATTGCTGGTATTATAAACCTTTTTTTACACGTTTTGACTCCAGTTTGGGTGTTAACTATTTGCCCATAGCTGAGATCATAACAGGTGATACCACCCCGTGTCAGGGTGGACCTGGGAACACCAGCAATTAAAAGGTGGTTCTACGCTGTTCAAAACCTCCTGATCAGAGGCTTTGCCGCCGTATGTAGTTTATCGTCATAACCAGGGCACGGATGTAGTTTATCGTCATGCCCAGGACGATATTTGTCCGATATTTCTTGTAGTCTTAGTTTGTGATTCTGTTCAAATTTCTTTACAATTCTTGCACATATTTCTGTGTCCTTTTTCGCCGTTAATCCTTGAACGAAAATGAATCCTTTAGATATATCCGTTCGCCTGATTTGAATCTCTATCGCACTCACTTCCTCTGTCTCCTTCACCGACAAGTAGTCGGTTATATAACTTAAGATATGCTGAGATATATTAATCTACTAGACTTACTCAGCTTTCTTTGTTATAAATTCTTTCGTGCGGTTGTAATCGTGATAAGTGTTCCTAAGATTTATCGATATTATTTTACCTCAGCCTCAGTAATGCTATCCTAAATGCAGTCAACTGATCTGATTTTATATCGATTTATAGTTTTTATAATATTCCTTTCATATATTTTATCGAGTGTTGCTTAAGGATCGATTTCCGATTTTTTCTTTTGTTGGCAGATACAGAACTTGTATAATTTTTGACGCTACCACTTCGCCAAGTGGGGTTTGCAAGAACCTGCTTATGTCTATTGACGATTCCAGTGGTATTGCAACATAAGAGTATGCGGGGAAAATGTGTGGATAATACATGAATCCATGAAGTGATTGCTGGTAATTCTGGAATATCGAGAAACGAAAAAAAAATGTTGAAAAGGAGAATCAGAAAAAAAAAAATGATTGAATCAAAAAGGACGGCCATTTTAATGGCAAGTGGGATTTGATGCTGTTTACTGCAGGAACAAAATAATATGCTGATATCTTCCCATAAAATATCAGAGAAAATTCTTTGGATTAAACAGTTTTTATTTTGATGCATCATTTAATGTGGAAAATTCTTTTAACACTGAATTAACGAATAAACGAACTTTGACTGCCTTCGAAAACTGAACGAGAAAAAAAAAGAAGCTTTGAAAAAGAAACATAAAAAAAGGAAACAGTAGAAAAAAAGAAAAGGAGAAAGAAACAAAAAAGAAACTATGAAAAAGAAATTAAAAAAGAAAAAATTTAAAAAGAAGAAAACGGATAGAATACAGAAGACGAAAGAAAAAATGTAATGAAAAAGAAAAAGAAAAAATACAAAGAAATATAAATATAAATATGAGTGTAAAATAAAAAGGAAGAGGAATGAAAACAGAAAAGAAAAAAGAAAGAAAACAGAAAAGAAGGAACAAGAAAACAGAAAAGGAAAAGAAAGAAAGCAGAAATAAAAAAGAAAGAAAACAGAAAAGGAAAAGAAAGAAAGCAGAAATAAAAAAAGAAAGAAAACAGAAAGGAAGAAGAAAACAGAAGAGAATAAGAAAGAAAACAGGAAAGAAAACAGAAAGAAAACAGGAATGAAGAAGACGAAAACAGAAAAGAAAAAAAAATAAAACAAAAAGAAAGAAGAAAGAAAACAGAAATGAATAAGAAAGAAAAAAAGGAAGAAGAAAGAAAACAGAATAGAAGACAGCAGTAAACAGAAATGAAGAAGAAAAAAACGAAGAATAAAGACGACACATAAGAAGGTTAAAGAAAACAGAAAAAAGGAAATGAAGAAGAAAAATAGAAAAAAGAAGAAAGAAAAGAAAAAAGAAAAGAAAAGAATACAGCAAGAAAGAAGAAAGAAAACAGAAAGAAAGAAGAAAACAGAAAGAACGAAGAAAGTAAACAGAAATGAATAAGAAAAGAAAAAAACAGAAAAGAAAATGAAAGAAAAGAGAAAAAAAAATAAATGATGAAAATAAAGGAAATGTAAAGTAAAAAAAAATATTTTTAATTGTTTCAAATCTAAGCACTGCGGCAATGTCATTAAAACCCTTGGAGGGGTGGCTTCAGCGGTTGAAAATGAATGAGGATAAAACGACTCAGAATGGGTAAGACTATGGGAAAAAAAGGAATTGGGTTCAAGGAGACAGAAAATTGCCATTGACGTTGCATTTAAATTTTTGAAGATTGTAGGCGGCAGAAAAGCAAGAAATTGGGAAGGGGTTCCACAGGTGAGAAGTGCCAGAAAAAAATTTCTCTTCATGTAGAAGGGCGGTGGCCTCAAACTAAAAGAAAAATAAATAAATAAAATAAAGAATAAACAAAAGAAAGAACCGACTTGAATTGGAACTTGGCTTTGTTGTGGAGCCTTTTCTCAATTGAACCATGTCATATTTATCAGAGGAGAGATTTCAGTTGGTAACTGAAATCTCTCCTCTGATAAATATGACTAATTTCAACTAGAATTTCGAAGGGCACACATAAAACGTGATATTACCTCTCTCTCTCTCTCTCTCTATATATATATATATATATATATATATATATATATATATATATACACACACACACACACACACACACACATATATATATATATAATGGACTCTGCCGTCGATAATCTTAAGTGGCACTTAAGACCTGCTAATGATTTACAAAGGAGGCCACATATGGAGCAAGAGTGAGGATTGTGAGATGAGATCACTGTTAGATTGGCTGACCTTTTAGATAATAAAAAAAAAGTTAAGCATTGAAGCAGGTGGCATGCAGTTTGAACAGTATCGATAATTAATTTATTATTTTTTACAAGAGCAATTTATTGTTATTAACCAGAATTAACCAGAAACATTTTAATAATGGATTTCTGGGCTGTTCAGCATTATTTTGTCTTAAATTTTATTGTAAGTAACTGTATAGTAACTTTAATCCCACCTATATATATATATATATATATATATATATATATATATATATATATATATATATATTTTATTTTAATACCTATACTCAGGGCAGAGCCGAAAAATCCAGATAATACAATTTGTAAATCAAAATATATTAAACAAACTTATATCAGGGGAAAAATCAATAACAAAAGAAAACACTAAAAACATCCGTGCTTTGAAAATAATCAATCAGCACCGCAATGTCTAGCCAAACGAAAAAACACAGTGTGGGTAATTTAATTTAAAACGTCAAAGTGCTCAATACATTAAGTAGAGCAAAAACTAAAAAAAAAAAAAAAAAACTAATGAGGCAAGACCTACCTACCTACTTAGGTTTTAATTAACGGATGATCAGGTTAACTCTGGCTAGTCAGAGTTTACATTGTTGATCCATTAGGTGAATTCTAGGTAGGTGGGTTCTGGCTCATCAGGCTATATATATATATATATATATATTTAAAGATATTTTTGTAGGTATAAAATTTAATGATCGAAATAAAATTATAAAACTTAATATGACGAGACATATTTAAAAAAAAAAAAAAAAAAAAAAAAACAGGCGAAGCAACCGGTTTCGCTTCTGCTCTTCAGTCTTTAACGGGAGATTTAAAAATACCACAACACAATAAAAGGCCACAACAATATCAAATATTGATGCATTTACCTACCCTATGCATGTTAAGTGAACAATATAGTTGTGGATTTTGCATTCATGCCAGCAGATCGCATCCAAGTAGATAAAAAGAGTTTGGATGATGATTTTCTAAGCAAACTCTTTTTACGTTTTAGCGCAACATGATCTTCTCATCCCTTTTCCTTTGAAAACTAAATAATTTTTTCGTGATTTTCGATTCCAAATCTCGAAGAAATCGAATTCCTTTCTATTCCCATATGAATAAATTCTAAAATTCTTTTGGCAAGTTTCGGAAATATTCGTGCCCCGAGAGTTATCGGTATGACCAAATTCTCATTCAGTCTATTCTATGAATTAAGGCATTAGCCAAAATTATCGATTTTAAATCTCCCGTTGAAGCCTGAAACCGGTTGCCTGTTTTTTTAAATATGTCTCGTAATATTAAGTTTTATACTTTTATTTCGATCATATATATATATATATATATATATATATATATATATATATATATATATATATATATATATATATATATATATATATATATATATATATGTATATATATATATATATATATATGTGTATATATAGATACACCTAGTGAGCCAAAAAACCTACCTAGGTTTCACCTAAACGGATCGTCAGGGATATATATATATATATATATATATTATGAAATGGACAAAGTCCGACAATTATTTCAAGACATTTTTAAGTTTTTACATTCTTTTTCTAGATACAACTATTTAAGTAAATACTCTGTTTATAATAAACAGTATTAATAACATTTACCGGCTAGAATGTCCGAGAATAAAACAGCATTTACCCCCCAGGATTTTGAATCCGTCCTCCAGGAATAACCAACTGACTAACAGTTCTGGTTCTGCTATTTCTGAATATTTAATAAATAGTAGGAAATGTGTAGAAAATTTTAGTGGTGACCGATTTATAATTTTATCTAGGTCCCACTCCACATTTCATCTCAAGGTTCTAGAGTCCTTGTATATCAGATCCCGTGAGCCTTCCTTTTGTAAGGTCTGAATATTATTGGACTCTAGTTTCTTGAAATTCATAATTTTTTTCCCCATTCGATTACATTCGTTAAATAAAAAATTAATTTACACGCTTTTTAAATTCCCAGAATAAATAAGCTTGATAAGTCCTGGGACGAAACCGGTTGTATTTATTTTAGCTTTTAAAAAATGCCTTATAAATATTGTTTTTCCTATCTATTATATATATATATATATATATATATATATATATATATATATATTTCACTCCGAGCAAGGCATAAAGCAACCTAAGACGCAAGAGGTTAGTGAGTGTGAGAGAATATGAGAAAAAAGAAGAAAAAAAAAGATGTCATTGAAGAGAGAAATCGAACAGGAATTAATTAAGAAACAGAAGATGACGATTGACATTGCATTTAAATTTTCGAACTTCAAAGTTTACTTCGAACCAAGAAGCCGGAAGAGATTAACATAAGCAAGTAGTGAAATAGAAGAAACTTTTAGCATAGAACTTGCGGTAACATCTAGCCATTTCAACTGTAGATTGATGAGACGTTGCTGCAAGTCTAGTACAGCAATTAAATTCATAATTTTAAGTACGATATGGGAAAGTGTTTACAGAGGGAGGCTAAGTTACGTCGGTGAAAAAGTGAATGCAGCTGAGATGCCAGGTCAGAACCAATAACATTGCATATTAATGATATGTTCTTAGGCAGATTGTTAATATACTGCAAAAGAATAAATACGAGGAGAAATCCTTTTACGCAAAAACAGATCACACATACGAAAAAAAATGTTTTTTTTTTCAATCTCTGTGAAAAGCTTGCTCGAGAAACATAATCTGCTCGATGTCAACCTCTTCATGTAAACCTCATCGCGCGTGCAATGCCTGTCATACCTTTGCTAGGCCACTAGAGGCGTGAGAGAGGATCGAAAGAAGAGAAAAGGCTGAATGTGTATATTGCCGATTGTGTGGCTAAATAAAACGTCCAATTTTGTGCTTGTAAATTTGAGGTGTTTGTCTATTAGAATTGGACTGGTTTCTGTTTTTATTTTAATATCTGATTCCTATTGTAGAAGTCCCGGGGGTACGACGCCATTTGACACTGGCGAGTGTGGCAATCACACGGCTTCTTGGATTACACCGCTTAGCATTCCCAGCTTGTAACTAACACGATTTAAATAATGATCCGAATAAACAAGACTTCATTTCATTGGATCCCAAAAGATGACGTATTGTATTTGACTTTCACTTTTGACATGTGTCCGTATGAAAGGAAAAGATGATCCCAATGGAAAGAAATAAAACACCAAAAGGGATAATTATGGCCCACAATTGAGCGATTTTTGAAGAGAAGGGAGAACGCAGGAAATGATGAAAGGTGAGACAGAAAGTAATGAATAAGACGGAGATATAAGATAAAAAGGAAGATAGACAAATTGGCAAGGATAAAATTAGAGAGGGTAAAGGAAATAAAATTGCCAAAAAGATAAAGAGAAAGGTCAAAGAAAGGAAGGGAGGAGAAGGAGACAGATAAGAAATAGAAGGTGATGAAGAGAAGTAAGGAGTACGAGAAGAAATTTAAGGGGAAAATGGGGGATGATAATGACAAGGTTAGGAGATATAGAATGGCATGTAACGGCTGGTGTAATGGATGACATCTCGGAATGATAAAACAGAGAACCAAGTTCGAAATCCAGTCGGGTTTGTTACATTCATTTACGCGCGCAAATATCCTTGGGTAACATATGCATCGAATTTTTCTTCTCGTAGCTATAGGCTAAATAGAAGAGAGACCTAACGTTTTAATGATGGATGTGCCGATTGCCTCATAGTGGATTTGAATGAGGAATCAGAGAACCAAGTTCAAATTGCAGAAGAATTCGTTAAATTCGCTTACATGCAGATAACATTTAGAGAGACGTATATCTCTTCTCCAAATATCTACCAATTGTTGATTTCTATAACCACAGTTTTTATATCTATCACGATCACCGTTAGGTTCGTAGGGGCACCACATGTATTACAGAAGTGATTTTTACTTCGGCAAAGAACCCAACCCTCTCCAGGTCGGATTGAATTCAGAATTTTCCTTCTCCTGGACCGGTTGCCACCCAAGGTTATAGAACTCAGTCAGTCCTGATATTTACCCATAACTGTACTGTACTGCACTGATGCGGCATTCACCCTGGGCGGATTGAGCCGGCTTCTTCCTGTTATGAGAAGAAGATTCTTGGGATAAATTACAGAAGTAGGGTACCCAGGCCTACTCGGATAACGTTCTTGCTTGCCGCGGGGTTCCCACAGACGCAGAGACAGGAACGACCAGAAGCCGCCGGTTACCGATGCAGACGCTCCTTGGATTTTCACCAGAGCCCTTGTTAGCCGGCGTGTGTGTCAGACCTGTCCGCCTTGGGTGGCCCTACCAGGAACGAAGTTCCGGGCGGCATAGCTCTGACACTACCGTTTACACCCCCCCCGACACCGATTATGAGGTAAGGGTTGCTTTACGGTCAAATCACGCTGAAACACCGGTTCTCGTACGATCACCGAAGTTAAGCAGCGTAGAGCCAGGTCAGTACTTAGATGGGGCACCGCTTGGGAACACCTGGTACTGTAAGCCCCCAAAGCATAAGCATAACTGTGAGGCAAAGAAGATTGATTGGGTATTAATTCGTAAGCGAATGTAATGGATCCGACTAGAATTCGAACGCGGCTCTCCACTATGTCTCCTTTATATGTATATATTCCTATAAATTTTCTAAATACGAATAAATTATATTTTGTTTCACGCTGTCGAACATTTTAAAATTTACCAAAATTGCCATTTTTCCCAAATCCTGTTCCGGCATACATTCACTCAATCTTACCAGGTAGCTTTCCTCTTGCTTTCAATCCGTCCTGTGAGTATCAAATTTTCCAAGCCCTCTTTCCACATTGTGTGCCCCAGTAATTTGAACTATTTCTTTCTGATGTTAAATATAAGTGTCCTTCTTGTTGTCATTGTCTTTCGTCGTTCCTCGCATGTTTGGTATCTTCAGCATCTATCTGTAAAACCAAATCTCTGTTGCCTCAAGTCTTCTTAGTATTCCCTACTATATACGAGGACTGATATTAGATAAAAATTCACTAATCTTTTCTTGGTTTTTAACGATATTTTTCTGTATAACAATTTTAGTTTTCAACTAGACTATCCATCGCTGGGACATTTTAGGTTATAAAACATTCAAGTTGATTTCAACATTCCATTAAAATAAAAGTTAATCTTATAAATATTCGAGTTCGTTTGTGTCATCATTGGTTTTTTTTGCAAGTTCATGTTTAACGCTTTACTGGTTGTTTACAGTATTTATATAGGAATAGAACTTCCTGGATAAACTTGAATTCTAGTAATAGCATTTATTTATGGCATATGTGAATACTTGTACAAAATGTAAAAAGAATTGTTACTCTATAAACAACTCGTATTTTTAAATCTTATCCATTTAACTTAAAAAGATTTTTAATATACCGAAAAATATTTTAAAATCATATTCACTTCAAAATATTTTTAAATATGCTAAAAAATATCCTTTAAATAATTAAAATACTGCCTATTTAAAGAAATCTGAAATTTAAATAATTACTCAACAAACAACTGGACGAAACAGCAAAGCGGGATCTCTTTGTGCTTGTCTTTAACTTATAAATATTTTAATAAAAATATTGTCTATTTGAAGAAAGTTAAAATAAAAATATTTACTGTATAAACAGTTCATATTTTTTAAACTTATTCAATTAAAATATATTTTTTATAAATCAGATTAACCTAGATAACCATGGGCCGGACGCACGCACCACAGAAACTCGAACCCAAACACAGACTTTTCGTATTATACAGATAATTTTTTTTTAAGTAGAACCAAATATGAAGAGCTAAAAATAATGTTTATTCATTTTTATTAAAATATGAACATTTCTCACACGCGTTGTGTGAATAACGCCAAAAATGTACCCTTCGCGTATAAGGCACATGCAAAATTCTTGGTTCTGAACTTGATAAGGAATATCGTAAAAGGGGTGCATTTAAAAAGTTTTTAGACATTTTGTGGCGAGGCAGTTATAAGTTTCCTAAATTATTGTGGCTTTAGCATACAATTCAATTATGTGCCATGCGTAATACATGCTTAGGTGATCATGTATCTTTCGATACATGATTGACTAGGCAGATTTTTTTCCTGCAGTAGTTTGCCATTTCTTTCTGCGGTAGACCAGTTGCCATCGAAGGCTATAGAACCCGGTCTGTCCTGATAATTACCTATAGCTTTTAGAAGAGGATTCATACCTTTCCTAAAGGTATTAGCACGTAAGTGAATGTTAAGGAAGTGCTGCATGCTCTATCGTAAAAAACAGGATATGGTCTGTGGGATCATAATTACACCAGAAATGGAGTATTACTGTCATATCTGAGCGGAAGCTACCCAATCGGCACTTTCCATCCTTGGCAGAATTCAAAAGCGTTTATGTAGACTTATATGTGATGAATTACGTTTCACTATACAACCAATTATACACAGACAAAATAACGCACGCCTATCGCTAATCTATCGCAATTTCCATGGGACGTCCTGACGACTTCAGTCAGTCATGTGCCATGCGTGATACACGTTTAGGCGATCATGTATCTTTTTATACATGACTGACGAGGCAGAATTTTCCCGCAGGAGGTTTCCATTTCTTTCTGCGGCAGATCAGTTGCCATCCAAGGCTATAGAACCCGGTCTGTCCTGCTATTTTCCCATAGCGGAGGTGGGAAAGAAGAGGATTCATACCTTTCACAAGGCTATTAAGTGAATGGATTCGACTGGAATTCGAACTTGGCTCTCTGATTCTCCAGTCCGAGCCACAATACATTACTCCACCGTGCCTCCTGTATACATTTACAGACAATTTTGCCCGCTGGGGTAGACTGTTTTAGTTGCATATTCCATGTCTAATGGATGTCAGTTATCAGTTATCTCCTGTTAATTCGCCTCTCCAAGTTCTCCACCGCCTTAACAAGGTATTGAACTCACGCTGTTTGGATCCTGTCACTGGATCTAACTAACAGCTTTATCCAATGTACAATATGTCCTCAAGAAGTGTGCGAAATAAAGGGTTCAGTTCGACATTCCAATCACCTGAAGAAGGCCGAAGCGTACAACGGCCGAAAGATGGGGACGATAGTCTGAATAATGTAAATTGTGTACATAATACCTCATTTCAGAAATATAGATAGATACTAAAATAATACCCCTCTCCAAGGACACATGGCACAGTGTATAAAGGCGTTAGTTAGATCCAGTGACAGGAGCCAAAGAGTGTGATTTCAATACCTGGTTAAGGCAGTGGAGAACTTCGAGAGGGGAATTAACAGGAGACAACTGATAACTGACATCCACTAGACATGGCACGTGCAACTAGAATAGTCTACCCCAGTGAGCGAAATAAACCACATTTCAACCACCTGAAGAAGGCCGGAGCGTACAACGGCCGAAGCGTTGTAATAAATATGGCGACAAAGATGAGGACAATAGTCCGAATAATGTAAATATTGGAATTATTTTACTTTGTATTTATTTATTTTCAAGATTATTTGAGTTAAATAACAACTTATCAAATTTATCATTCTGTCTTTGGATTTCTTTTTCCTATTTATTGAATGTCACTTTTCCGTTACAACTGACTACAAAAAACAGGTACAACAAAGAATTTGACACCCAATTACACGAATAAGTTTACGAGAGGGTGGAGAACAAGGAATGGTGGTGGGAAGCGTTGTGTACTATTTGTGGATGCATAATTTCTGTGCAAGTGTGTACAGATATAGCCATACGTGTGTATTAAATTAATTAACGCACGTTTTTGACTCCACTAGTGTTAGTAAGTCGACTTTTACCTGGGATCGAACCTTTGGAAAGCTGATTTTTATTTATTTAGGCAAATGACACTCTTCT